GATGGGTATGGGGGGGGTGCTCCCGGTGACTCCAGCCCCGGTCTCCCCGCAGGGGGCGCTATGGGGGGGGCAGGGCAGGAGTGATGGGTTTGGGGGGTGCTCCCGGCTACCCCAGTCCTGGTCTCTCCCAGCAGGGGCGCTATGGGGGGCGGGGCAGGATCCCTGGCTGTGGGGGAGCTCCCGGTGACTCCAGCCCCGGTCTCTCCCCGCAGGGGGCGCTGTGGGGGGCGGGGCAGGATCCCTGGCTGTGGGGGGAGCTCCTGGCTACTCCAGCCCAGGCTCTCCCAGCAGGAGCGGTGGCTACGGGGACTGTAGTGGGGGGACTGGCTGCTGAGGGGAGGTATTGCTGGGGGCTGGCTGCTATTGTTGTGTATTGTTGTGTCTCAAAGCACCTTGGAGCCAAACCCAGAACAGAGACAGGCCCTGCCCAAGGAGCTGACAACCTGTGTACAACAAGAGACGAGCGGAGACAGACCTCCAGGGGAGCCCAAGAGAACAACCAGACCATGGCCAGCGTGACAGTCAGTGGTCTCAGCACACCAGCCCCTGAATCACTCTCAGGTATTTTTGTCAGCATGGCGGCAAAGCAGAGTCCTCAGGGAGTTTGAAGCCGGACAATGAGTTAGTTTTTCAGAGGTTTATGGGGCGCTCCTCCCCAGCATGGGGGCAAGGGAGAAGGCACCAAGGAGCTTGTTTGAACCTAGACCAAGTGAGTGCTGGAGGCTGGTGTCACGGGCTGATGGGAGGTGAGCACAGACAGGCAGCATGGGGATCGGTCATGCCATGAATGAGAAGACAAATATAGTACCCATATTTTAAAAAGTATAGAAAGAGAACCTGGGGAACTACAGACCAGTCAGCCTCACTTTCCCAGTGAGCCAGCAGAGGGTGCTGTGGGCACAGTGCTGCTTACAAACAGTTTGTAAGCAGCACTGTGCCCACAGCACCCTCCGCTGGCTCCCTTCCCTCCACTGGATCCAACATGAGCTGCTTGGGGGACTGCCTGGACTTCAGAAAAGCAGACTTGGACTCCCTCAGGGAACTGATGGGCAGGATCCCCTGGGAGAATAACATGAAGGGCAAAGGAGTCCAGGAGAGCTGGCTGTATTTTAAAGAAGCCTTACTGAGGTTGCAGGAACAAACCATCCCAAAGAGCAGAAAGAATAGCAAATATGGCAGGCGACCAGCTTGGCTTAACAGTGAAATCTTTGGTGAGCTTAAACTCAAAAAGGAAGCTTACAAGAAGTGGAAACTTGGTCAGATGACGAGGAAGGAGTATAAAAATAGTGCTCGAGCATGCAGGGGTGTAATCAGAAAGGCCAAGGCATGATTGGAGTTGCAGCTTGCAAGGGATGTGAACGGTAACAAGAAGGGTTTCTACAGGTATGTTAGCAACAAGAAGAAGGTCAAGGAAAGTGTGGGCCCCCACCACCGTACAAATAAGCGATGGCCACATTAACACCACCCTATACCGAAAACCCACCGACCGCTACGCCTACCTTCATGCCTCCAGCTTCCACCCCGGTCACACCACACGATCCATCGTCTACAGCCAAGCACTGAGGTACAATCGCATCTGCTCCAACCCCTCAGACAGGGACCAACACCTACAAGATCTTCACCAAGCATTCTCAAAACTACGATACCCACACAAGGAAATAAAGAAACAAATCAACAGAGCCAGACGTGTACCCAGAAGCCTCCTGCTACAAGACAGGCCCAAAAGAGAAACCAACAGAACTCCACTGGCCATCACCTACAGTCCTCAGCTTAAATCTCTCCAACGCATCATCAGTGATCTACAACCCATCCTGGGCAATGATCCCTCACTTTCACAGACTTTGGGAGGCAGGCCAGTCCTCGCCCACAGACAACCTGCCAACCTTAAACATATTCTCACCAGCAACCACACATCGCACCATAACAACTC